CTAGATGGATGTTTTCACATTCATCTGCTGAAAGTGGAAAGTTTCTCTGTGCTCATTGAAAATCTGATTATTGAGGGGGCGGGCCCACAAGCATGATAAGGCCTGGTCCAGTATGCAACTTATACAAGTGCATAAACACTGAGAATGGACTTACCCACAGTGAAGTAGGAGTCATCTTGTGTCCCAAATGAAAACTTTAGAAATTCACACAATTTGCATATTCATAGATTCTGGAATTTTTAATGTGGTAGTAGAGTAGATGCCTATTAAAGGATATTAATGTGAATGTTTTTTTTTTTAGAAAAAATATATTCTACTACTGGTATATATGTCTTAATTCCTGTCTGGAGGGAATCTTTAAGCTTTCATTAGTGAGTTTCCTGTCAACACGTGTTGAATGAATTGTGAATAATTGAAAAAAACAATTGAGCCTCTGTTATGCTAAAAGACAATCATTGCTACATAAGCAGAACTCCACAACACACTGAACATCACGCAAGTTTGACATACTGGTCTTATAAGTGATTTGGATATCATGTTAGCAAATGATTGCCTTTTTACACATCCAGCAGTTACAAAGTATCATTAGCATTTATGTGAGCCATGTTTCAACTGATGATTGTAAAGAAAATTCAGGAAATGTGGTTGATGAAGGCGATAAGAGAGAACCAAACAAGTTGTAGACCATTAAATCAAAAGAATGGGCAAAAGTATTAATTGCTGAAGCTTTGAACAATGTGAAAACTGGTGGATTTTAAATACATTTATACTAAGGAGTAGTCAAACTCAACTTAACTCAGTGAGACAAATATTACCTTGTCGGAGTACTGACGGAAAAGGGATTTCTTATTTTCATCTTCTTGTACATTTGGGACCTTTTTGGGCTGGTAAATAAAAGTAGAAGAGAAAATAGAAGAAGAAATGGGTCATTTTAACTCAAATACGACTGTAAAAACATATTTCACATACGCTAAATATAAATATGGCTAAAATAGAGTAAAGAACATGTAACACAATATCAGAACAATATAAACCCCAATAATATAATGATATTATTAAATCTTGCACACCTTTTGAACTGGCTTGTGTTGATGGTCACCAGAGTTTTCACTGTGGAGAAAGACCAAAGACATTCCACATATAATTGATTAGTGTCAGTGTTATTTTTTCTTATTAGTCATATTCTTGATGACAAGCAGTGGATTGAGAGGGTGAGCATACTAGCCATGGGTCTCTGCTTTGGAGTGGATGGTCAGGATGAAGGAGGCTGTCTCATTGGCGTTGAAGGTGGATGGCACAATCAGGTATTCACCAGGCTTTAGCAAAGTGAACTCCATCACCTCACGTGCATTCATGTAGGTTTTAGTTTGGGCGGCAGGTGCTTGGCTGCTGAAGAAAGAGGCTGGGAATTTTCCCTTCTGCTTCTTGTACTGTAACAATAAGTAGATATTTACATTCTCTGCAGTTTATATCCTTTACCAGAGATCCACAATGCTGGTGGAGAATGTTGTGTATAAGGATGGGATGGGATTAAACAGTCTCTTACTTTTTCAGTCACCTTGAGGGAAATCAGTGGAAGACGAGTTCATGTTGGGGAGAAAAAGCAACCAATTCAGTGTCAGAAATCTATTATTATTACATGCATATACTCACTCGAAAGGAAAAGCAGACTCTGCCCAAGACCTACACCTGCTAGCAAACTGTTGTGGCTGCATGAACTTTGACTTTAGTCATTCAGTTATTGTGTTTACTTTAGATTTACTGCTACCGTCCTTTGACTCCTTTGAAGATGATCCCTTGAGAAACAAGCCCTTTTGACCTGATTAATTCACATATTCAATCATTTATTAATTTTAGATTTTAATCTCCCAAAATCCTTACAAGCAAAACGTGTTTTTGACTTAGTCACTCATGTGAAATCATGCTAATGAAACTCCCACTTTGTACACAAAAGTGTGGGAATTCCCTCACTGGAGCTTTCTTTGCATACTCATTAATTATGTTTGAATGTGAAAAGTTAGCTTACCCAGTGGAGTTACAACAAAGTAAATTAGATATACCGGTGTTATAGTAAATATATATGTGTTTACGGCAACCTGAATATCTGAGAATACTTGAGACTTGGAATATGCTGCACGATTGTTTAAAACGTTTTGTTTGTGATTAATAAAGATTTTTATAAACATTCTGTTATTTCCTCTCTATGTTGTATTTTTTATTGTTAATGAAGGTGTCCACCTTTCTCAAGTTGGATTCAAATTTCCTTCACAAGCAGAAGGGATTTACAGAAAATGATGCATGTACAATATTTAATCCAGTTTACTGTTTGAATTTTGAATCTCATTGATAGTCCACCTGTTGCTATCAATGTCATTTTGAATGTGAAAAAAGTAGTCAGTTCAATCATCTAACCCATTGTATCCCAATACATGGTATTTCTAACTGTTGGGATCTTTTCACGTAGTTGTGTATGCATTATACTGTTGTGGTTCAAGTTTGAAAAATAAGGTAAATTTGAATGATAAACATAAAGGCCTGTGTGGCTGACATGCCTACCTTCTAATAACCAATATGTAATATGTACATAACAGACAGAAACAATAAAGAGTCATTTTTACCTCAAACACAGAGAATCCAATGTGGAGATTTTGGACCAGGCGTCGGTTCCTCTTGTCAGGCTTTTGCATAAGAGACAGCAGCACATTTTTCGAACCAATTTTCTCAGAATATTCACCATGAATCTTGACCCGATACTGTGGATTAGTCCAGAAACTGTCTGGAATACAGAAGACAGTATTGTGTTTTGTCATTTAGCTAAAAGTAAAGAGTGATTTGATTGATTTATTGAGATAAAAATTAAATGTTATTGTCTATTATTGATGAACAAAAAATATCTATTTATGGCTTATAGCAATAGTGAATTTGTGAATTAATCATTTATTCTGTACTATATAACATGGAAAGTCAAGTATGTTGTTTGAGCAGGAGTTGTGTATTAAAGTAACGCTAAAAGAATTTTATTGCAACTTTTAATTGTCCTGCTTTTACTGCATGATGTAAATAACTGTCGTGAGCACTTAATGCAAGATAAGGTACTGTGTAAAACAATGTTACTAGTTCTAGTGTATATTATTCTACTTCGTTT